CTGAAAGGCTCCTTTAGCACAACGCTGGAGTGCTTGTTAATGCTTGAGGTTGTTAATGCCATTGGATGATCGAAGACTTTGCCACCTGTTTATCTACTCTAACGCTCCCTTGATGGTATGGCCTTTTGAAATGATACTGTCGGCGTTTTTCTCCTTTAGGAACACAGCAATTCACTTCGCGGTATCCTCCTCTATGCCGTCTCCATTGCAGCCATCATTGGGACCATAAAAATGAGTCTACCCGGAGCTGGAGCTCTGTGCTGCCTTGTTTGCAGTCTCACTTGCTCAGCCGGTTGGCAGCACGGAATGCCCTGGCGTTTTAAACACAAAGCCCGACGCTCCACTCTCGCCGCCCAACCCTCCATCGATGACTATGAAGACGAAGGCAACTCGGACGTAGAGGCCAACAGGCACAATGACCTAGGACCTCGTCGTACTTCCGAGTCCTTAGCGGAAACATCAGAATCAGTCCCGACGGAGCATCATGAATACTATCGACAGCACTTACGATCATTGAGGCTCCTTTTAAAGAGGACAGGAGGTGCCGGGAATAAAAACGCATTGGCCACAGTTTCAAAAAGTAGAAGATTTTCCTTGCCTGAACCAAAACCACAGTATGAAGAGGATGATTTTGAAATTATTGGTGAGTATAAAGGCTCTCTCACATACCAAGGCACCAATTATTTGTTCGCTTAGTTTTGTACTCATCTTCAATTAACTTGCATAATTTACCCCCTGTTTTTGCTGGAATATTAACTGGGTGATTTGTTTATATTTTGTGACCACTTTTCCGCTATGACATGTCACTCATTCATTCCAAGATTCCGTTGTAAAACATTCTTTCCATCAGTTTACTTGTCAAATTACTTACCTTTGCCCTACGTGTACATTAACGAACTGATCAACTCCTCTAAGTGCTCCCTCACTTGTTAACCCTTTTACCCACTATTTCATGGAATCATCCTTCTCCTGTACGCTTACCTTTTGGCTCTCGATCCATATCATTTCATTTCTTTATCAAATTACTTATTTCTTAATCTATCTGATTATCATCCCACCTAAAAGGCCGTCATACATTATTTATCATATCTTCTCATCGGTCATCTCATCGTCCACGCACATTAATTCATTCAGTCTTGTGTGCACTCTCTCCATTAACTAACCGTTCTCTTTTCTCTTCCCTTTAGCCATCCTTCTACTCATCATTAATCCTCTCCATCGCTGGTCTGCTCTCATTACTACCTATCTGTTTGCGCACTCCCTCTGAGAATTGGTCTAATGGCCTATTAGTCTGTTTTACCTATCACCTGCATATATTTGGCAGTTTGTTGTCAGATTCTGATTTTCTCTTAGTGAAATCTAATGCAAGTTTTCGGTGATTCATTATGCTTGACCTCTTGAATTTACAGTTAAGTAACCTCTTCACTCATCTAAATGCGAAGCTTACTTTCACATTTGCTATCTTTTACACAAACATTGGATCCCATTCATGTGTTTTAATAACTATCCTGTGAGTAGAAAGCTGAATGCATCTGTTTATAAAACGGGACATGGTACCAGGCAAAAGGTATTGAAATCAAAGCAAAAATGTCAAAGGGAAGGTAAAACTGCTGGTTGGCGGTCTGTCCGACTCTTTTGTAACCATTCCTGACGGAGTGAAACAAGTATGTATTTACACCTCTCTCATCTCGCAAGCCACGTAACCAATTGCCCAACGGTCAGGGAGCATGTGGAGCTATTGGTTTTCCTAATGTCAAAGTGTTTTTCATTGCCATTCCAAATATCAACCCCTCTCAAGTATTGCGCACATATAAAAGGGTTTGTGTACATCGCACAGGCATATCGACTACTGACCTTTAACCATCTCCACCGTGTTAGCATTACTTTTGAAATTCTTGACGCAATTGCATTTCTACTAACCTTTTACTTAAAGCACCAATGGGTAGCCTTTCGATGACACATGTCTGTGAGCATGAACTTCTACTTCCAGCGCAACTAGTCTTCTTAATACCATTTGACGAAACAGCTTTAATTTCCTTGCTCACTTGCGGGACCTCGTAACTCTGTTTAAATTTTTACTCTCCCCTATGGTGTGCCGTTTTTTATTAGCACCGCATGTGTGCGGTCCGATATGTTTTTCCCCGAATCCCGCCTATCGCGAATGCCTAACACGCGTCCTCTGTCGGCTCCATAAAATTTCGCT